ATGCAAATGCTGGGAAAGAAAACCATGTGCATGTCTGAAATCTAATAAGACTCAATAGTTGCCAGACAGAATATCCTTCTAAATTATTACCAGACAGAATCATATGAAATCACTATCTTGACATTTCTTCAGAAATGCTATCTCTGTTTTTCTCCAGAAATAACAATAGCAATGAGACTTGTGTACAGCTTTACAGTGCTTCACAGTCCTCTCTAAGCCATTTACAGAGTCAGCTATTGCCCTCAACAATCTGGGTCCTCAATTTTATCAACCTTGGAAGGATGAAAGGCTGAGTCAACCTTGAGCCCATCAGCATCGAACTCCTGGCAGTCAGCAGAGTCAGCCTGCAATACTGCATTCTAACCACTGTGCCATCATGGCTCTTAAGTCTATTCCTTAAAGGTACAATCAACCATATGCCTTTCAAATGGTGATTTAGGGATATAAGTGGTATTTGCATAATTATTGTATTTTGGAAATTCTATCCTTTATCACTACATAAATATCAACTATTTTCACGCCCAACACCATTTGCAGGTAGTCCTCAACTTACAACAGTTTGGTTAGTGACCGTTAGAAGTTGCAACAGCACTGGAAGACAACCCTAAAATTAAAAAAAAAATCAGTTAAGATGGTAAGAACAGGTAATATTATCTTTTTCCTTGATGGCTTACTCCTCTGGTGGATAGTAATATTCTACTTTCATATTGAATTGTGGGTTTCCTGAATTCTCTCTATAAGTAATCCTCGATTTATGACCACAACTGAGCCCAAAATTTCTGCTGCTAAGCAAGACTGTTATTAAGTGAGTTTTGCTCTATTTTATGACCTTTCTTGCCGCAGCTGTTAAGTGAATCACTGCAGTTGTTAAGTTAGTAACATGGTTGTTAAGTGAATCTGGCTTCCCCATTGACTTGCTTGTTAGAAGGTCGTAAAAGGTGATCACATGACCCCAGGACACTGCAACAGTCGTAACTACCTGCCAGTTGCCAAGCATCCGAAATTTGATCATGTGACCATGGGGATGCTGCGTTTGTTGTGTGAAAAATGGTCAAGTCACTTTTTCCAGTGTTGTTGTAAATTTGAACTGTCACTAAATGAATTGTTCTCAGTTGAGGATAACCCAGGGGTGAAATCCAGCAGGTTCTGACAGGTTCTGGAGAACCGGTAGTGGAAATTTTGAGTAGTTTGGAGAACCAGCAAATACCACCTCTGGCTGGCCCCAGAATGGGGTAGGAATGGAGATTTTGTAAATCCTTCCCCCAGGAGTGGAGAGGGAATGGAGATTTTGCAGTATCCTTCCCTTGCCATGCCCACCAAGCCACACCATGCCCACCAAACAATGCCCACAGAACCGGTAGTAAAAAAAATTGAATTTCACCACTGGGATAACCTGTAGTAGAAAAACAAGCTAGAATGTAATAAATCAATAAAATAATAAGCAAACCAATCTAAATGCTTAATGTAAATTAAACAGAGTCAATATGATTGTTTCTTGAGCCATTTAATAATTTTCCCATAATACTGAGGAGTACTGTTTAATACCTATGTTTGGAGCAGGGATGTCAAACTTGATTTCATTGAGGGCCGCATCAGGGCTGTGTTTGACCTCGGTGGGCCAGGGTGGGCGTGGTAAGCTCGACGTCACTCATGTCGGGGGCGCCTGTGGTGGCCCAAGCACTCTGTCAGTGAAAATGGGCTCCTGACCTCTATTTCTGGCTGCGACAGCCTCCTGCAACCCACTGCCAGCAAAACAGAGCTCAGTAGGGCCACACGTGGCCCTTGCGAGCTCCGTTTTCACTGGTAGATGCACCGTGGGCCGGTCCTTCACTGTTTCAAGAGGGGCCCTGTGGGCCAGATCTAAGCATCCCATGGGCCAAATCCAGCCTGCGGTCCTTGAGTTTGGCACCCCTGGTTTGGAGTAACCTCATCCAAGGCTTTGGGAAGTCATCACTTCCTGCAATATAAGGAAAAAGCCCAGGATAAACAGAAAGAGAGAAAACGAGAGGCGACTGCAGTATACTTATTGTCAGCGCTGATTTGAAACCAGGGAACATTTAATCAGGACTTTCCTTCCTACTTCTAGACCTACCATATTTGACAGAAATTTGGAAGGAACATTAGAAGCCGTTCCAGAGTTTTCATGACCTTTTGTAACTATCTGCTTGTGATAAAAGAACAGTCAGGCTTATGAAAAAGCTTTTCATGCTTTTCAAGGTAACTTTAGAGATTGCTGTAGCTATCCAATTCACCAAAGATGCAATTTATAGTAGCAGAGTTTTTATAAACTCGAAACAGGCAGGGTTGAGCAGATCAATTTAAAAAAAATATTCCTTTTTATTGTCTGTGTTTGCTCTGGTCCATTGAATTTGTTATTATTAATATTAATATATGAAATGTATATGCTTCCCATATTAAATTTGTATGCTGGCTGACTTCCCGTGACTCTATTTAGGTTGTTTAAAGCATTAAAAAAAGGAACAATACAAAATACACAAAACCCACCCAAAACAAAGGTATAGAGATGATAAAGAAAACAAACCTGGATTGTTTGTCCAGGTTTGTCCAAAAAGGAAAGGAAGAAAAAGGATGACACTCATCCTTACCAAAGACCTGGACAAAGAGCTATATCTTCAAAACCCTATGAAACAATAGTGTAGGGACTGTTGAGATCTTGAGAGGTACTTCATTGCAAATGGCACTACTACAGAGAAGGCATGTGGCTGGAGTCCCAATGGGTGGCATTGCTTAATTGATGAATCTGGAGCATGCCTACCTTGCCAGTTCAACTAGACAGAAAGATGCGGTGGTGGAATTCAAATAATTTAACAACCAGTTCTCTGCCCTAATGACCAGCTGGGTGGATGTGTCTGGGAGGTCATGTGACTGGGTGGATGTGGCCAACTCAACATCACTCCCATCGAGAGGTGCCTCGCCTCGCTCAGCATCTCCTCGCCACGCCTGGCCATGCCTCACCCCTCCCCTCCCCTCCCAGCCACTCCTTGTCACGCCCAGCTGCTGGCCCTTCAGCCCAGCCGTGTGAGCGGCTGGACAACAAGGTGAGGAGTGGCTGGGGGGCGGAAGGACAAGGTGGGGCCAGGCATGGGGAGGCACACTATTCAGCCAGTTCACCGAACTGCACAAAACGTTAGCTACCGGTTCTACCGAACCTGTGTGAACCAGCTGAATCCCACCACTGGACAGATGCTATGGGAAACTGGTGGTCTGTCAAGCTTATGCTATGTTGGGCTTTATAAGTGGTGACCAGCACCTTAAATCTTACCTGCAAGCAAACTGGCACCAGTGCAATTCTCAAAGCAGAGGTGTTTCATAGACATACTGAGACACACTCATCACTACTCATATTACTGCATTATGAACAAGCTGAAGTCTGATGACCAGGGTGTGAATGATATCTGAAGGGAACCCCAATTTAGGAAAGGGTACAACACAGATGACGCTGTGTAAAGGCCTTCCAGGCCACAGCTACCTCCTACTCATTGAGCAGGAGTTGTAAATTGAAAAAGTCCTCCCTCCCAACTGTGCACTAGGAAGTGCCAAGTGATGGGGTAGCAGCAGTGGTGGGATTCAAGTAATTTAACAACCGGTTCTCTGCCCTAATGATTTCTTCCAACAACCAGTTTGCCAAACTGCTCAGAAAGTTAACAACCGGTTCTCCCTGAAGTGGTGCGAACTGGCTGAACTTCAGCCAGTTCGCACCACTTGGGTAGCAGGGTGGCAGTGGGGGCCAGGGCAGTGGTAAGGGTGTGGGGCAGCAGTAGCCCTCCACAACAGTCCCAGTTTCTCATGTGGCCATTTAGGAAAATTAATCATCCACCCTTGATATAAAAGATATAGCAAATTACCCATAAAAGGAAAGGTGGTTTTCTTATCTTTTAAAATTAAAATACTGTCTGCTTTTCTTGAGGTACGTAGCATTTTCCCCTCTCAATTGTTTCCCAGTCCCCACCCCCCCAAAAAATAAGTAGCTGTCATGTACTTCAGGAAGGATAAAACAATTACTATTTCTTTGACTCCAGGCCTGCCACATGAGCAAAAGATAAAATCAAGCTTCCAAAAGTTTTTTCATTTCTCGTAAGTCTTCAAGCCCTCTGCATCCATCACTTGAAACATTAAAATACTAGGGGACATTTCTATGATTAATGCAGGGGTGAAATCCAGCAGGTTCTGACAGGTTCTGGAGAACTGGTAGCGGAAATTTTGAGTAGTTCAGAGTACAGGCAAATACCTCCTTTGGCTGGCCCCAGAGTGGGGAGGGAATGGGGATTTTGCAGCATCCTTCCCCTGGAGTGGGCTGGGAATGGAGATTTTGCAGGATCCTTCCCCTGCCACGTCCACCAAGCCATGCCCACCAAGCCACACCACACCATGCCCACCAAGCCACGCCCAAAGAACCGGTAGTAAAAAAGTTTGGATTTCACCACTGGATTAACGCAAAGACAACTTCACAGCATTTAAGGGAGCAGGGAGAAAGTCCTAAAACCAGACTTTCTGCAAGAGTTTTTATCTCCTCCAAAGAAGCTCTAATGGCTGGAAGTTATCTTCAGCATGGTCAACCTGTGAAAAAAGTCATGGCCATTTGTAGATAAGAAAAAGAGATTTGGACACCAATAGTCTAGAATGTACACATATAAGTTCCACTTTTTCGTTCAGCTTTGGCTAAGTCACAGCCGTTTAGTTTCATTCCCTAATCTGTATAATGGAAATCAGAGTAACTTAATTTACAGGATTGCTGTGCACGCAGATATAATTAGAAGGATGTAAAACACTTCACAGTCTAAAGTTGCTTTGTGAATTGAAATTGGTCATTTACTTGTCTTCATGCTGATTGCTTCCTGGATCTTGTTCAGTAATTGAAAATCCGCAGACTGTCTTTTATAGTTGTTGCTGATTTTTCTTTTTCTTTTTTTTAGGTTTGCATAAAATAATGATCATTAATACCTAATTTTTTAAACAGGAAGCCCAGAGGTAAAACAAGATACAGTAACATAGATTGACTTTTATTATGTAACAGCAACATAATAAATAAATTTATGAAGTCATATGGCCTTTACAAAAAGACAGAAAAGATATTGCACCAAGTTTAGGTACTGGCTATTTGGACTGAATATTTGCTAAAGAAAAGATGGGGCACCACACCCAAAGTTAAGCGCAATTAAGTCCCTCTAATTTCAGTGGGGAAAAAATTAACTTGGAGTTAGAATCTTTCTCCTTGAAATCAATGGGACATTAAGGCTGCAATCCTTTACACATATCCCCGGGAGCGTCTCCCACTGAATTCAGCAACATACTTCTGAGTATATATGCCTAGGATTGCGTTGGGCAGGGCTTAACTTTGCCTAGGCAATGCCCCTGAGAGTTATCATCATTATATACATTTACGGAGTTAAGGCAAAACCAGATAACACTTTGAAAAGGACAGAAGGCTTGAGAAATAGATACCATTTAAAAATAAGAGGGAAGGATTTCCATCTCCACCTGATAAATTTAGCTATATCTAAGGAATGCATTCGGCTGATTTTTTTTTTAAGAAGAAGCTACTCTCAATCACTGAACTAAAAGTAAAGTCTAAGTGTATTTAAAAAAAAAAAAAGGAACGGCTGTTTTGCAGAGGTTTGCCAAAATGATTCTCTTTAACTCTGGTAAGCAATTTTTTTAGCGTAATAAACTCTTTCCTGGAACTAGAAAATCCTTTCTATAATATACAAATTCCTTTAATGTTCAGAGCAGGGGTGAAATCCAGCAGGTTCTGACAGGTTCTGGAGAACCGGTGGTGGAAATTTTGAGCAGTTCAGAGAACAGGCAAATACCACCTCTGGCTGGCCCCAGAGTGGGGTGGGAATGGAGATTTTGCAATATCCTTCCCCCAGGAGTGGGGAGGGAATGAGGATTTTGCAGTATCCTTCCCCTGGAGTGAGGTGGGAATGGAGATTTTGCAATATCCTTCCCCCTGGAGTGGGGTGGGAATGGAGATTTTGCAGTATCCTTCCCCTGCCATGCCCACCAAGCCACGCCCACCAAGCCACACCACACCCACCAAGCCACACCCACAGAACCAGTAGTAAAAAAATTTGGATTTCACCACTAGTTCAGAAAACATCTGACTGTGACATACAGATTTTCATAGGGCAGTCCTCTTTGAGCTTAACTATTTGAAGGAAAACATATGTGTGACTCTTCCAGAAACAGAATACACAAAAATTAATTAAGTCAAAATGCTTATCAGTAACTCTTCCTTTGCAACCGAGCAGCATGAATTTATGTTAATTTTTAGCACAAGGGGAATAAAGATATAATTCATATATTAATGAACAGTTCTTTGGCAGCTATGTGTTCATCTTGATTGAAGTTTTGATCCAGAAATTCTTAAATTGTAGACCTGGTTGCCAGTCTTTTAAAAATGGAATCGGGGGATGGGAGGGAAGAGGCAACTATAATTATTGACTTCTCCCACAAATCCAATATGTTCAGTTAAGGAACCTGGAATGAATCTTGCAGGCAGCTTCATTCTGTAACATCAAGCATAGATACGCATTGTCTGCTTTTAAGTCTTGCTTCCAATGTCCTGTATTTAAACACACAAAATTGGTTGAAATCTCAGGATGAATTCAAAGAGGGTCAAAATGCCATACAATAGAATCCAGATTTCACCCATGAGAAACCAAGAAAGAAAAATCAATCCAGAGGATGAGAAGATGGTCTTCAGAGAACAGAAGCAATGATTGGTCCACACCTAGGTGAAAGTCACAAGGCGATTGATTTTACAGGGGAAAGACCAAGAAGCCAGAAAACGTGGAATACTGCCATCCGCCAACCAGGTTACCTTTCTCCAGTTTAAGGTAGACCTTATCTTCCTTGTCTAGGTAGAGTAGGACTCCATTTGTGGCAGCTTCACGAGTGACATCTTTGTCCCCAGCAAAAGCTGAAATGACTGGTTTCCCGTTAAGCATCAAGTTCACCTGTCAAAAATAATAATAATTTTAAAATCCTTAAATACTCAAGTTAAGACATAGCCATTCAATACTACTAAGGTTGATGGGAAGCAGGGGTGCTATTCAGCAAGTTCTGACAGGTTCTGGAGAACTGGTAGCGGGAATTTTGAGTAGTTTAGAAAACTGACAAATACCACCTCTGGCTGGGCTCAGAGTGGGTTGGGAATGGAGATTTTGCAATATCCTTTCCCTGGAGTGGGGTGGGAATGGAGATTTTGCAGTATCCTTCCCCTGCCACACCCACCAAGCCACACCATGCCCACCAAGCCACACCCATAGAATCGGTAGTAAAAATAATTGAATTCCACCACTGATGAGACGGTTCCTTAGAAGGCCAGTGCAGCCTAGACACTGTTTGCCAATTTCAACATCTTTTCAGAAGTAGCAGAAATAAACAATTAGGTAAATTGAATGTGGGAAGGATGGAAATAGAAAGACAGACAGCAAATTGGTTGTGGGAGTGAAAGAATATTTATTTGATTTCCATAGTCACCCATATCAAGAAGTGACTCTGAGTGGAGTATATCATAAAAAAAAGCATTAAAACATTAGAAAATATATATGCCCATAAACTATTGCCATAGATATTAATACAGCCATGAAACAGAACCATTAGTATCCTCAGGGCCCCAAACCTGGTCACACAACCAGGTTTTCATGGCGTTACAAAAGGCCAACAAGATTAAAGTCAACCTAACCTCTGAAGAGTGGATGTTCCAAAGGGCAGGATCTAGGACTGAGAAGGCACATCTCTCGGTCCTCCCCAGAATATTCCTCCTTCCATTTTGCTATTGTACTGTGGCTTAGCTATGGTCTCAATGTTATTTAGGAAAACTATAAAATGAACCTAAAAACTGGCATGCTATACTTCACTTACCTTCCTCTACTTTTTCAATAGCTCCTTAACAGTTACTCAGACGTGCAACTGTACATGTGCAACGATTAAATTATACCTTGGTTCATTTATCTTCCTATCAAGATAATTAGATTCATCTATCTCCACATGTGCATATTGTAAACTGATGGGTAAGTGGAAATCTAATAGGGATGTGTGGACATGAGATCCAGCAGAGCTTTTCTTAGATTCTTATGCTCACTGTGGAAAGCTTCCCATATGATAATATCATTATAGAATTAGAAGGCATACCAAATCTAAATCATCCCGCATTCCATGCAGACATCTAAATTAAGATTCTGTGACAAATAGCTACCTACCTCTTTGAACCTATCATGATAAAGGGAACCCACCATGTTGCTTTGATTGTTGACCCTTTATAGATTTTTTTCCTGATGTTCAACTGGAATTTGCTTTGCTGTAATTTGAATTCAAAACAAAATGGCATGCTATCTTTTTAAAGGAGGGTATGGGGGCCTAGAGGTTAAGACAGAGTTCCCCAACCTTTCTGGCTTTGTGGACCAGCAGGAGATGGTGAAATGATGGTTCTGTGCAAGTGGTCAGCAAGTGCACACACACAGCTTCATTTGTGGTAGTGGTGGGCATGTGCGCCTTCCAGAAAAATGGAGCACACATGCACACACATGTCCATCGCTTCTGTGGCCCAGTTCTGAACAGCTCACAGCCCAGTAGCGGGCCACAGCCAGGGGGTTTGGGGACCCCTGGGTAAAGATACTGGGCTTCTTGACCCAAAGGTTGGCAGATTGAAACCCAAGTTTTTGCAAGTTTGTGACCTCCCATTCTTGTTCCAGCTCCTGCCAACTAACCATTTGAAAGCATGCAAATGCAAGTAGATAAATAGGTACCACTTTGGTGGGAAAGTAACAGCATTCCGTGTGCCCTGGCATTTAATCATGTTGGCCACATGTCTTTGGATGATGTTGATTGCCTCAACTAGGAAACAGAGATGAGTACTGCCCTCTAAAGTCAGAAACGACTGGACAGGGAATACATTTATTTTTTTTATTCTTTTAAAAGTCTTAAGAAAATTTTGGCATTATAGTTTTCCAGAGAGGAAACAGTAAATTCCATCAGAGAAAAGCCCAAATTAAAAGACTGGGCAGACCCAAGCAGGATGGGGGAGAGGGGAAGAGGCTCAGAGTAGCCATATTCTAGAATCTCTCAGGAGAGCCAGTTTGGCCTTGTAGTACAAGCATTAGGCTAGAAAGCCAGAAACCGTCAGTTCAAGTCCTTTCTTATCTATGAAAGCCAACTGGCTGATTTTGGGCTGGTCACTTTCTCTCAGCCCAACTTACCTCGTAGGATTGTTGTGTGACAAAAGAAGGAGGAAAATACATTGGATATGTTCACTGTCTTGAATTATTCGTTAAAGTAATAAAAGCGGGATAGAAATAAATAAAATAAATATATCTAGTAGATTAGAAAAGGAATATGTTGGAACTCAGTTGCCAGAATTCCCCAACCATCATGTTGGCAAGGAATTTTGGAACTTCAATCTCAGCACCTCTAAAGAAATCTTCAGCGGGCACCAAGGACCCCTCATTTCAAACCTGAGCTACAATATTCTCCTTTATCAGTTTCAATTCTTGCTGCATCAACATTTTCCCCCAAAATTCATTCTTCCATGGGTATTTGATTTTTGAAAAATTGCAAAACAGCCCTCTTACTAATATGTTCATGAAATGCATAGACAAATTTACACACATACGCTGTGCTACATCTGCCATCAACAGCATATAAAGATAATGCAGGGAAAAGGTTCCTCAGTAAAAATGTAATACACACACACACATGTTTTATATATATATATGGTTTTATATTTATATATTATATGGCATGTGGGAGGGAGCACACTGCATCCCTTTTGCCTTTCCGCTCCAATCCAGGAGCCCTCAAGCAGTTGCATTCATGACAAACCACTTAACCATTTAACAATTAACCATTCACTTAATCTCTCCCCTGGCTCAAATTGATGAAGGGAGAAGAACTTGTGACTCAGAGATTAATACAACTGCCTAACATGCAGTAGGCCAAGTTTGAATCCAAGTAAGGGAATGGCTAGCTGATGAAAGCTAATTAGCTTGAAATAGATCTATACTAGTCTCCCTTTATTTCTTTATCAGCAAAATATAAATTTGATATATATATATATATATATATATATATATATATATATATATATATACATATACACACACACACACACATACATATATGAAAACTTGCACAGCTGAACAAATAAATGACAAATAAAACAGTTATATTTTAATTTTAGAAACCTTAAGATCACATGAAGCAGAACACTCAATACTAAAGAGTCTATAGATATCTTTATTTAATCACAAACTGGTAGTGCAGTGAAAATCAATAGAAGATGATTCATAGATAAACCATACTGTAGTACATTATTCTGGTAATAGGGAGCCACAAATTCTGGTAATAGGAAGCCACAAAGTCCCATAGTTTTGGAAGAAAAAAAACACGTTAGTAATCTGTGTCAGTGAGCCATAAATTGGTTTAGCATATTCTGGAAACTCAGTCAAAATAATTCGTAAAGCTTAGCCTTACTGTGTTGTGTAAGCATAGCTGACTGAGTTTCATTTCACAAATTATAGCCAAACAAAGCATAACTTAGAAAAAGTTTAAGTCACAGAATTATGCAGGTGGCTCCTTTATTTTTAATAGCCCTTGGTCTATTATTCTTTGTTTTACTTTGGATTTTATATTTTTCATGTATTTATTAATTGTTTTTAGCTCTGTTGTACACTACCCAGAGTTGCAATGGTTGAGTTGCTTGCTTCCAAGATGGGTAGCTATATAAATTGGAAGAAATAAAAGGGGAGAGAAGGAAAGATGGAAGGGTGAAAGAGAAGAAGAAGGAGGAAGGGAAGGGAAGGGAAGAGAAAGAAAAGGAAAGGAAGAAGGGAAGGGAAGGGAAGGGAAGGGAGGGAAGGGAAAGGAAAGGAAAGGAAAGGAAAGGAAGATGATAGATGATAGATGATAGATAAATGAGAGAGAGGGAGAGATGGAGAGAGGGAGGGAGAGATCTAACTAGCAGATCTAACCCTGCTAAGTTTTTTAAAGTTCAATGAAGGCCAGTCGGGTACTACAGTCTGCCAGCAATTAGTTGAACTAATAGACTTGATGTAAATCAGTTTCTTCTGCTCTGAATTATCAAAGGAAGATGAACTGAAAATATTTTAAGAATCAATTACCTTAGTGACTCTTAAACTAACTGGCTAAATACAAATTTATATCATTCCTATAAGGTAGAGCAGCAGACATATACATGTTTAACATTGAACTGGACTTTTCCCAACTGTTGTAGATTTGATGAATTATTGTGCCTTGCAATACTAATTTTGCAAGCTTCTGTATTTATTTCCCAGAAATAAGTCTCACTTGGTTCAGTGGACAAACTGCCAAATAAGTGAGCAGCAAGCACAGCAGAGGAGATGACTCTTGATATAATCTTAAATTATTCCCAAATTGGAGACAAGTTGTAAGCATCACTGAATTTCCATGAAATAGTGAAATAGTAGCAAATACAACATCTTAGGGAATTGGAAAATAGCCCAGAAAGTTCAAAAGAATCTTATTTAATTTCAAATGGAAGCTTTTTTTTTTCTTTAAAAGGAGAAGTTTAACTAGATGGCATATAAAAGGAACAGACAGAAATGTAAGACTGCTTCAGGGAGCTTAGAAATTATTTTAAACATAACAGGAGTTCAAATGAAATACACAATACAGACTAGAAAAGGCATAAACAGTTTTAAAATGATGCCAATAAAAAAAAGGAAAGTATAAAAGGCAAGAAAGCTTTATTTTACAAAGTGGAAAAATGGAGAAATAAACCATTAAACAAACTAATATAATATGCAGCATTGGTGGGATAAATAAAAATGGAATCAGAAGAGCCAATATCCATGACATGCAAACTTATAACAGAATCTAAATTCATCAGGGTTAGGAATGAAAGATGACAGTGAAACTAAACAGTGAATACCTAATTCTTGAAAGCAAAACAGTAATTAACAGAAGGCAAGATCAT